TTCAACTGCGCCATTTTCCCAATTCTCTTCCCTAATTTCAGTTTTCTTCCACTCGGTACCCATTCACTGATTTCAGATTTGCTTACGGACAATACAGAATTGGTATGTGGGTCAATGTATACCTCTATCATAATAGTGACATTTCAAAGAGTAAGCCACCAGCATTCAGACATTTCTCTTAAAGCTAGTAAACAGCTGATTTCCCTGCACTGTCATTAACATAACAAACATGACAACATGTCCAACCTGCCTCCTGGGAATTCTGTTTACTTCTGCTGCTTCATTTATTACAAACAATAATGCTATTCATTGGAGAAAACTGTGGATTCTGTGTGAACTAACTTATATATGATTTATGCCTTCTGTTAGTGAATATACGATATTACTCACAAACATATTTCATAACTTTTGTTTTTGTTTATACAGCCCTATCTCCACCTCTGCTGGCTGTGAATGACACAGCCTGAATTAAGAAAAATATGGTTTCATTTTCAGTCTGCTGTAACTTACTTCAAAAGGTTTTTTTGTCTCCTGCTCTGTAACTTTAATTACATACTGGAGGCTCCTGCAGGATCTAGCAAGCTATTAACAGACAAGAGATTAGAAATTTTTAATTAGACAGAATTTGCAATAAAGGAAGAGTAAACATAAGTAGGATATAGGAATACTGTATACTGTAGATTTAACTCCTAAATGCCAAGGAATTAAGCAGTGAGTCTGTAGGGGTATGATCTGTACACCAAAGCTAAAGTTGTTTTGGTGACTATAGTGTCCCTTTAAAGGCATAGATGTTTTTATTTGGCGTATATCTCCTAAAATTATTTTTATTTTTTTATTTGGTCAGTGGAGTGTCCCCTTTAGCCTCCTGAATGTATTCAGTCCCAATTATAATTGCAAGTGAATGATAATTTCAATTAGTAGACTAGGTCCTTTATTGTATGAGTATTTAGAGAGGGTGAGGGCTGGGGACACACTAGATCCCCCTCCTCGACAGAGTTCGAACAACACTCCAACTGCACAAATTTTTGACAAATGGCAATTTGTTTAAAACTGAGTGCAAGGGTCTACAAAGTTTCATGCCCCTCCCACCCCACCCCCCAATTAAGTGTTTTAACTCTTTAATATCAATCAAACTCTGTAAAACATTTTAATACTCTTTTCTAGCGTTATCAAACAATACGAAGTCCAAAACAAAATTTACTTCTCTGAGAATGATCTCCAAATGTATATTCAGATTGCCTTTAATAAAAGTATAAATTGCAGTTTTGCACGAAATTTAGGGTTAAGAATAAAACCAGTCATAGTTAATATGATTTTGAATAAACCTAATGTGAAATATTTATTATTTTCTATATTATTTTCAACAGAGATATAACTAAAACCTTTAGAAACCTGGAAACCTCAGACAGTTCTTCAGGAATCCTACTCAGAACTAACCAGGGATTGATGAAGATGTTTTATATTTCTCCCCTGCTAACACAGTGGACACTAGTGATCAGAGAAGATTTATAGTACTTTCATGTCCGCGTCAACTGCCTATATACAAGCTTACATTTCACTAGTTTATTTCTGATTTATTTAATGCAGCATCTTACATGTTCAAAGTTTGAACTTCCTGGTGACCTTTTAAGGCAGTTATGTTCGTTATGGGTTTTTAATAAAGATTTCATTCCTCATTTCTTTATGAAAAGCTCTTTTTGACTGTACTGACATGTGTGAAGCTAGTTGGGATAGTGTAGGAAGAAACCCTTTTACTTATAACAATTTACCCAGAATAACTTGACGCAAGACGTAAATTGTTACAAACAGGCCACAGCTTTATTTAAAACAATACCATTATTAACATAACGCATTAACATGACATTCATTAACCGTAACTTCCATTACCAGATCCTTGCCAACCATTTAACATAACCTGGGAGCTTGCCTCCCCCTCGTCCATACACCACAATTGGCATTCCAACTGGCCTTCCAATACCATCCATGCTAACCACTGTATTTTGCTCAGTGGGCACGTCCTTCACCATGGCTTAACCATGCTGGTTTTGGCTCAGTGGGCACATCCTTCATCATAACTTAGTCCTGAGGCTAGGGGAGGGATCAGCCCTGAACCATTTCCACTGGTCTTCTGGTCCAACCCTGACTGGCAAGGACCTTCATCTGCCACAAGTCCCCGCTGTTTTATCCCTAAAATAAGCTGGGCCGCCCCACCAACACCACCATGGCCTCCTCCCAAGTGTCTTGCAGAGCCAGATTGAAAAGATCCAGTCCCACGTCCATGGGGTGGACCCCATCACGGCAAAAATACATGGCTGCATTTTGTTTGAAAATCCGGTGCCGCACTGTACAACCTCCAATACCAAGCACAAACTTTGATACCCTTTTACCCTTATATTCAACTTCACCCTCGTGCACCTCCACTAGTTCCATAAAACAACCTCCGACCATATCAAGTAGATGTCTGGGAACAAAATCATAAGTTGTTCCAGGTCCCTGCGCATCATGTCCTCCAAACCTCCAACCGGGACCACTCCCAAGTCATTACCACCAAGATGAATCACCAATTAACCAGTAAACGGGTAAACAAACTAGCTCCATGAGCAGATGTACCCAGCGCATCCCCCTTGACCCGAACCATCGAACTTCCACTGTCATAGGTGACTGTCCGAGAAGAAGCCGCTGCCTGGCCCAGTATTCGTAGGAGTGCCCGATCACCCACACTGGCTTCGCTGGACCTACGGAAAAAACACAGTGGGGAAGAAAATCAGCCAGAGGGGCAAATGTAGGACCAAAACCTTCCTGATTCCCACCTACCGATACTCCTAATAGCCATCTCCGAGAATCCTAATCTGTCTGCCTCAGTTACCCCGTTATGAAACGATTGGCCCCAAACTCACTGCTCGCAATGCCCAAAGCCTCCAGCAACTTAAAAATCCTAAATGAATTGAAACCGGGACCCCACCGCGGTGAACCAACAAGGGGCCCTACACAGGCAGACGCAAGGCGCAGAACCACAGGAAACTGGCCATCGGGCACACCACCAAACCTGGTACCGCCTTCAGGGTTACCCACACACCTTTGACACCCATCTTGGACCTGCGCAGCAGAATTTGTACCACCCCACCTTGGCACATGATATCCCCTTCACCTGAAGCAAATGGAACTCTGACTCCACGTCGGCCTTGGTCATGAGGGCACCTTGCCCCGCCACGCGAACCATACACACTGCAGCATCAAACGAGGCATAAGATACCCGGCAAAGTTCCTCATCTATATCCTCTTCACAGACTCCCCCTGGAGGGTGTTACAAATGGTGAATGAGCCGGAACCTGGCTCCTTCTTGGGCACCACACCCAGGGGCGAAACCCTCAGGTGCGTAAACGGCAGGGCCATGAAGGGGCCCGCCATGCTTCCTAATGACACCTCCTTGTCCAACTTGTCCTTCACTATCTCCGGGTGCTCCCGTACGGAACACAAATTCTGACACACCCCTGTGAGCGATCGAAAACCCATCCCGAAAACCTCCTAGGAGCACCTACACTGCTTTCCGGGTTCTTATAGCGGCTTAGCCAAGGAACCATTGCTGCGACGTCCACTGGCGTCTTTGCCCTTAGACCCCATGGTGTCACCCTTGTCCCCCAATTTCCCACGCTTGAAGCACCTGGCAGCGGACTGACTGAAAATCGGGGGACAATACTAAGCCCTTGTAACAGAAAAGGCCAGAACATTTTTCCGGTGCCTCTTCCCCGATCACGCTAGCCAAGATCGAGAAAGCTCGGATCCTATTCCTGAATGTTTTCTGAATCTCCGGAACCGGAACTTCACCCTGTCCTTGTCCGAGTCCTTAGACAACTCTTTTGCAGTGATGCCACCCCCGCGGAGCACTCCCACTGCGACAAAAATACATACTACTAACTAAACCATGCCAATCCCACTGCCCAACTTCGTTAGCACCCTCCAAGCGCTTTCCAAGAGCAGGAGCCACAGATGCCTGAACTGAGGCCCCGGTCTGGAGCAGTCCAATACAGGTAAGAGAGCACCCCTCCCACCCAGCCCAGCATCCACAGGCCCACTCCAGGGGGGGAGCAGGGGCAGAGAGTGCCCAGCAGGCCCAGGGAGACTGGATGTGAGGGAAGGGGGCTCTCTGAGGCATTGTAGGAACGGAGCCCTCCAGGGCCCGCGTTGTAAGCACTGCCCACCTTTTTCGTGCCTTTCTGCCCGGTGTTCGGTAGATTCAATCTACCGAACAAACAACCGATTGACTGGACCACCTGTATTGGGAGTGAGTCGGCAATTTACCTCCTAGAAGCTGCGGTTAACCGCAGCTTAATTGACAAATGCTGGGTGGCCTTTGTTTGTTTGCTGAACACGTGGCGGCAGCCATTTTAAAGTCCCGAGCGGCCAGCGGTGTTCAGCGCCCAAACTATGGAACTGGAAACGGACACTTATTTGCGCGAACACCCCTGAGCCGTCAGCCTCCTTGCTTCTGCATTCGGTCATTTAACCGGATGCCTGTTCATTCGGTAGTTTAAACCATATGAGCAGCATTACCCCAAATAGCCATCCCATGGAGTCTATTCGTATGGAGAACAGACTTTGTGAACACTTTAACTCCACAGCGATTGGACTGTGTGCATAGGATCTGAGCGCTATTCGGTACTTTTGTGCGCTCAGATCCCAGCTATCTGGGGATGGGTTACGTGTATATATTTTATGTGACAAATGTAACATTATGTATTTTATTGTATTTTAGTGTTTTATTGTAACCATGTGGTTAATGGAGTTTTGCATCTGTCCTTGGAGATAATTGGATTACTTCTCAATTATCTCCAGGATAGAAGGGAGGGATTGTAATGTACTATGGGAGTGTTTTAACCCTGTATGCCTGTGATTGGTCATTTTACCATTTGTGGCCCAGTCTTCCATCTGGTCCCCTAGGGGAGTGTCCACCAGGTGGAAGACCTGCATAAATACCGGGCAGGTAGCCCACATTAAACCAGACCACTGCTTGACCCTCAACACGGAGCTCTGTCTCGTCTTTGGGGGGATTTACTGTATGCTGTTAGAGACTGATTGCCAGGAGTGTAAGCCGCTTGGGTGCTTTTCCTGTTCGTCTGCTAGCAGCTATTCGTGAGGTTCCAGTTCGGGAGTTTGGAGTGCTACTTTGTATGCAGTTCGGGAGTTTGGAGCATTCCCTTGTATTCAGTTCGAGAGTTTGGTGTTCTGCAGTAGCTGTGCCTGTATCTCTGGGGAAGATCTTCTAAATGGCGGTTTAACCCTTTTATGCCTGGGGGTGCTGTAACAATTACCCCTAAATCCCTTTCCTCAGAGGTTAGAACTCTATCAAATGTTCTGTACTCTGCCCTTGGGTTTTTACGTCCAGAATGCATTATCTTGCACTTTGACCATTTTTCTAGTTTACCTAAATCATTTGCCATTTGGCTTGTACCTCCTAGAACATCAACCCTGTTACATATCTTAGTATCATCAGCAAAAAGACATACCTTACCATCAAAATCTTCTGCAATATTACTAATAAAAATATTAAAGCGAATGGGTCCAAGTACCCCATGGGCCCTGAGGTACCCCACTGGCGACAAACCCATACTTCGAATAAACTCCATTGACTACAACCCTCTGTTGCCTGTCACTCAGCCACTGCCTTACCCATTCAACAATATTGGAATCCAAACTTAAAGATTGCAGTTTATTAATGAACCTTCTATGTGCAACAGTGCCAAAAGCCTTACTGAAATCTAGGTAAGCAATGTCTACTGCACCACCCTGATCTATTATTTTAGCTACCCAATCAAAAAAGTTTGGCATTATTTCCCTGATGTAAGCCCATGTTGTCTCTGATCTTGAAATCCATGTGATTTTAGATGTTCTTTAACATGGTTTCCATTACTTTCCCCACTAAGGCTTACTGGCCTACAGTTGCCCGAATATTTAAAAGAAAAACTACCACAACAAGAGGACATAGTCTTAAATTAGAGGGGCAAAGGTTTCAAAATAATATCAGGAAGTATTACTTTACTGAGAGGGTAGTGGATGCATGGAATAGCCTTCCAGCTGAAGTGGTAGATGTTAACACAGTAAATTAGTTTCTTCTGGGACTACACCTGTTAACAATGATTGATTAAATAAACCTGTTAATGGTTTTGCTAGTACACCACTTAGCTCTTTTAATAACTTTGGGTGTATTCCATCAGGTACCATTGACTTATTTGTCTTTACTTTTGACAGTTGAAATAGAACCTCTTCCTCTGTAAACTCATATGTAACAAATAACTAATTTGTCCTTTTTCTAACTGAGGCACATTTCCTTCATTTACATCTGAAAATACTGAACAAAAATATTCATTGAGGCAGTCAGCTAGACCTTTATCCCCTTCTACATACCTTCCTTCTTTTGTTTTTAATCTACCGTATATACTCGAGTATAAGTTGAGTTTTTCGGCACATTTTTTGTGCTGAAAAACCCCCACTCGACTTCTACTCGAGTCACTGTCTGTATTATGGCAACTTACATTGCCATAATACAGACCAGGACCGCCGGGCTCATTACAAGCCCGGCGGTCCTGTTAGGGGATGGCAGCGAGCTGTAATTTACCTTTCCTGCAGCTCCTGTCAGCTCCCTTCTCCTGCGTTCCGGTCAGCTCCACTGTAAATCTTGCGAGAGCCACGGGTTCAGAGCATTGCCACGGGTTACCATGGCAACGCTCCGTGCGGCAGTCACACCGCGAGACTTACAGTGGGAGCTTACAGGGGAGCTGACCAGAATGCAGGAGAAGGTAGCTGACAGGAGCTGCAGGAAAGGTAAGCAACGGCTTGCTGCCAGCCCCATCCTACACAGCCCATGCCACTGGACCACCAGGGAATAAGAGCCCCCCTCCCTGGCCAGCTAACAAGCAGGGAGGGGGGACGAAAATAAATATATACAAATTTAAATATTATTAAAATAAAAATATTAATAATATAAAAAAAATTATAATAATAATTTAAAAAAAATAATAAAAATGCCCACCCCCCAAGCAACCAATCACAGTGTTAGGAGTCAAATTACACAGCATGGGAAAATTCCAAAGAACTTTCCCATAATGTGTAAAATGACACAGAGCACTCTGATTTGTTGGATTTTAAGCCAACCAATCAGAGTGCTGTGACAGGTAAATATAGAGACTTACCTGTCAGTCTCTTCATTTACCTGTCAGAGTACTCTGATTGGTTTGCTTAAATCAACCATTCAGAGTGCTCTGAGCCTAATTGCAGGGCATGGGAAGGCTTTATAAGCCTTGCCCCACCCTGCGGAGCTCATTCTGCACCGTGCCCTCCATGGATGAATATGGATTATTTTTGTACTGTTTTTTATTTTTTTTATTTTACAGTTGTGAAGCATATAATGGATTTTTATTTGTCCTTTTTTGGGGCTGAAGAAAGAAAAGAATAAAGAAGACATCAAATGGTAAGTATGAAATTTTATTTTACAGGTTTACTTTATTGCCCCCCCCCTCTCACTATTATTAGCACTAGCTGCCCAGTCACTAGTAGTTTTAAATTTGTTTAGGCGACATGCACCTACTCGCGGCATGCTGCGAGTAGAGGCATGCGGGAGGAATTAACCTCCCTTTTATCAATATGGGGGTCATAGTGACCCCCATACTGATTTATATTAAGTTTAAATGGCACTGCTTGCTGTTTAGGCGACATACCCTCACTCCCCTGCCGGAGGATTTAACCTACCTTTTATTAATATGGCACTGCCGGCTCCCTCATGCGCAGTGCTGTTTTCATCCTAATGGAACTGAACTCTTCTGGACAGCGATCTCAGATATCCCACCTGGAATCTGTTGAAGCCACTCCCCAAACTTCGGAGTCAGAGCCCTGAGTGCTCCTATCACAACTGGGACTACTACTGCCTTCACTTTCCATATCCTTTCTAGTTCTTCTTTCAGTCCTTGGTATTTTCCCCCCTCTTCATGTTCCTGGTTGGCCAGCACTTGCTTGTCTGTCTGAATCTTGAAGTCCCACAGGATCTTAGCCCTGTCATTCTCGACTACCCTTTGTTGTATCTCCCATCTGGACTTAACCCGGTCCAATCCATATTCTGTGCAGATGTTTTTGTACACAATCCCAGCAACTTGGTTGTGTCTCTATTGATTGAGTGCATGTTCCTGTGCTGCTATAATTAGTGCCTCAGTGCTGTCTTTCAGTCCTGCCTTTTCCAACCACTGGTAGAATTTTGTCATGTGAGACACATCCTCTATCTGCCGGTGGTACACCCCATGGAGAGGTTTGTCTTGCTAAAGAACCTGGTCTTTATTTACATCCTCTATCTGTTGAAGTCTCAGGCATTCCCTTAGCAATTCATCTTTGGGAGCCATCTTTGTGATGTACTTGTGGATGCTCTGTGTTTCATCCAGGACTGTGGCCTTGACACTTATCAGGCCCTGACCTCCTTCTTTCCGGCAGATGTACAGTCTCTGGGTGCTGGATTTTGAATGGAATCCTCCATTCATAGTGAATAGTTTTCTGGTCTTGACTTCCATGGTCACCAGTTCTTCTCTTGGCCATGTTATTATTCCAGCTGGGTACCTGATGGTCCATAGGACATATGTGTTTATGGCTTTGATCTTGTTCTTTCCATTGAGCTGGGACGTTAGGACCTGTCTGACTCTTTGGAAGTACTTGGATGTTGCTATCCTCCTTGCCTCTTCCTTATGGTTGCCATGCATTTGTGGTACCCCCAGGTACTTGTAGCTGTTCTCTACATCTTCTATTTGGCCTTCTGGATCTTCAACTCCTTCTGTCCTGATCATCTTCCCTCTTTTTGCTATCATCCGCCTGCACTTCTCTAATCTGAACGACATTCCAATGTCCTTGCTGTATATCCTAGTTAGGTGAATCAGTGAGTCAATGTCCTGCTCATTCTTGGCATACAGCTTGATTTCATCCATGTAGAGTAGGTGTCTGATGGTAGCTCCACTCTTGAACCTGTATCTGTATCCACTCTACTTGATGATCTGGCAAAGGGGGTTGAGGCCTATGCAGAACTACATTGGGGATAGCGCATCACCTTGGTATATGCCACAAAAGTGAGTACATCCCTCACATTTTTAGGTCTATAACGTGCACCAGCTCTGTAATGCTGTCAAGGAGGAGTGGAAGAGGACTCCAGTGGCAACCTGTGAAGCTCTGATGAACTCTATGCCCATGAGGGTTAAGGCAGTGCTGGAAAAAAATGGTGGCCACACAAAATATGGACACTTTGGGCCCAATTTGTCCATTTCCACTTAGGGGTGTACTCACTTTTGTTGCCAACGGTTTAGACATTAATGGCTGTGTGCAGAGTTATTTTGAGGGGACAGCAAATTTACACTGTTATACACGCTGTACACTTACTACTTTACATTGTAGCAGTGTCATTTCTTCAGTGTTGTCACATGAAAAGATAAAATAAAATATTTACAAAAATGTGAGGGGTGTACTCACTTTTGTGAGATATTGTGTATATATATATATGTGTGTGTTTTTCATGTGTTTTTATATATATATATATATATATATATATGTGTGTGTGTGTGTGTCTGATGCAAGTCTTCCATTTAATAAGGGTGTCTGTCATATGTGAAGGTCAAATAAATAAGAAGCAGACTCCTCTTGATTTCCCTTCTCCAAAGATCGTGATCCTTCAGAAAGAGCATCAGCCACAAATCATGCCTCTTCAAAATAAAGATTTATGACCTTTATCAAAATTGCTGAACTGATAACTCTAACATTAGAGGTAGGAAAATAAATATACCAAGAACATACAAAGTCACCTCGTGAAGCATATGCAGATACGGTAGTCACACCGCACAGTGACAGCCTCATTTGCAAGTGATGCAATATCTGTAATTTTTCTACTCTATTTATGTGCTTCTCTCCAATTCTTCACCATCAAATTTTCCTGTTCACTCATGTTTTTTCCTATCCTTTTTTTTTTTTTAATTTATTTTGTTTTCCCCACATTGACAGATACTTGTGACATCACATCTCAAACAATCATAACACTGGCATAAAATATTATTTGGTAAGACCTGCTGTCTGCCTATCATTTTGGAAATAATATAATGAAGAAGAACCTAAGAGACATTTACAATTCATAGGCTGTTGAATTTATTTTAAGAACCATGTGTATCTTTTCAATGTGCATATTCTGAAACTACAAGACTATTTTTCTGTTTCCTGCAAAATAATGTCACTACCCTGTAGATTATATTTTATTCCTTTTGATATTCCGTTTGATGTTTATTTATAGTGAGA